GTAGTTGTTCCTGATCTTCCATCCAAATTCACTGCTCTGCATGGTTCCAGTCTTCACCATAAGGTAACTGATTTGTGTTGAATTTCTTTCTTGAATTTCATCTTGTGTGTACTGGGTACTATGCTCTTTTGGGATTTGCAGTGTTAGCTATGCGAGAGCTAACCTAGGACTTCGAGGTAGTGGTCTTCCCAGTCCTAAATTTTTGAGGATGCTATGCGTTGTGTATCAAGCTGTACTGATTACTCGTCTAGCTACGGCATTGTCTGATTCTGTCACCTGTATTTCGGTTATAGGCGCAATGTGCAAAAGTTTACTGGGCCTTCAATTCAGATTATTTTAAGCGTTTCTTTAGTTCTGACGTCTCAAACACAACATTCTGCATACAAGCATCTTCTAATTCGTGGCTATTGGTGTGTAGAATTGAATGTTTTGGGACTAGAGTAAGCGTTTGTCCACTCGCTGCGCTCTGATTTGTTGGGTACTTGTCTTCAAGGTTCAGATATGAGCACTAGGTTTTCTTTATTGGCACTGGACGGTTTACTACACTTTTAGCTTGACGTCTCCTTTGTTTTAGTATGATTTTGATCTTGAGAGGGAGATATTAAAGGGCTACGAGGAGGCCGAATGCGAAGAGAGGCAGGAGAAGGAGCAATGTGGGAGTTGCACGGAGGATAATTGGGAGAGGGAACGGCCTCTCCCGCTAGCTACACCTCAAATGACCATGATAGAACCAGAAAAAACTGTCACTACTTTTGATGAGCCTGCTTCTTCGCAGCTTCAACCGTTACTGGACCGTTCTCTGGTGGAGGACTTTGAGTTTCAGGGACCGAAAGACGATCCGTTTGTGGCCGCTGAGCTAGGAACAATTAATGATCTAGAAGAACTACGGGATGTGCTGGCATCAATGTCAATGCCTAGTGCTCTGGATGTTGATGCCAAAAGGCAACCCATGTTTAGCAGCCTTAAAAACATCAATTTCCCTCGCCTCTCCAATGATGATGCGCCAAATGAGACTCCTTCGTCTGCACCCAATTCACAACCGAATCTTTTTTTGCGGTCTTTTGAACAGTTTTCAGAGGAACCAGCGAAGTCATCGACGGCAATTGAGATGGAACCTCGCAATTCTCAGGTCCATGGTGTGCTGAAATTTGATCCAACTTCCTTTCACAATAGTGCCAGTCCTATTAGATTTGACATTGATGGCGAAATAGTGAAATCGAAGGACTCTGCCACTGGAAGCCAACAACTATTGTTTGAAAGAGCTGGACGTAATGCTGACGAGGACTCTAACTTATTATTGATTCGCGTACGTTACCGCCCTCTTTTTTGCAAGTATTTCTTTTAACAAACTGTAAGTTTAAAGGCGGACGAAGTTTTTTTTTTTATTACTTTAGAACATGGAAGCTACATCACTGCCATCATCGTATCCGAATTCGTTACGTGCACCTATTTCTTTGGATGAAGAGGCGAAATCAATTTCGCCCGTTTCGCCTACTTTATCTGAATATGTTGTCGTGGGTCATGTTGATGACCCTCCTATTGTACCTAGACTTGTGAAGATGGGCTTCGAGCGTAACAAAATACTTGCTCTTTACTACACCAGCACCAGACGTGAAGGCGCGTTTTTCACTTCACATCATAAATATAAGTAAAATATGTCCACCTATTTCATCGTGTATTTTTGTTTCTGTTTTCGACAGTGAGGTAATCATTAGCTGTACCGTATTGTGAGAATGCTCTTATCGCATTGTACTTTTACTACTATTCTTGCTTGTTGTGACAAAATAACGAATCGTTAACTGTTAACCTGACTTGCTTCAAAGTAGTAAATGAAGCACTAACTCTACTGGGCAATTCATACTCATTTAGATGATGATGCGCTGATCACACAGCTTTGCAACTGGACTGAACTTGAAGAAAGGGGGTTTGAAGAAGAAGTGGGCAAGGCTGCAGTTATCTTCTCTCCAGATGATTTTAAGAAAGTAAGCTGAGTTTGTCTCTCCCAGCAGTTTTATTGAGTTAAGTCGTGCACAGTCAGCACGCTTATTAAATCGTAGACGTGTGTAAGTCCTTAATCTGTGTCCAGAATAGAGTGATTACTTTATTTTCCTTATTTTTTGTAAATCTGCAATCAAGTTTACTGAAACACATCAAGTCACCTCTAGTGAGCTTTGGTGTGAACAATATTTTAAATCCAGCTTGATGTGCACCGTCGTAAGACCACTGAGTCGCACCACTTGCACCCAAAGTAGGATTCGATTGGATCGAATAGTTATCATGTGTTCCTCCATCTGTACTTTTTATTTCATTATCTCATCTCACTTATCTGGGCAAAGCATCTCCAACTCATGCAACAGAACGTCGAAAGTAGCACTTCCTTTTTTTCAATTCGTTTGAATCTGATTTAATCACGAATTGCATATGCATCATGGACCTCCTAGTTTCTGATAAGGGAACTGGATGTAACCTTAAATCATCATTCCTATATTGCAATTCAGTTAATTTTCAACATTGAAACCCACATTCATTAAATGTATTTTGTAGGCATTGGAGTTTGCTACAATGGTGTCGGAGCTGTCTGAAATGGGTTTTCCACTGGATTCTGTCATTTCGGCGGTATTGTCATCGAAAATGGACAAAGAAGAGGCTGCGCTGCATCTTCTTGATTCAGGAAAGCATTCTGATGGCATGCCATCCTCCACCTGCGCGTCAAATAACGTTGCATTGCCTCAAAGCAATATTTTGGATGCAATGGTTAGGCAAGCTGGGAAAAAGAGCAAGAAGAAACTGAGGAAATCGCACCTCTCATCATACCTGAATGTAAGGCACTAGACGAGAGCCTTCCCCTGCAAATAATCCACGTCTTTCAACTCCTTGCTCATCTCGCCAAATCTTCGTCCTTGCATTAGGTCAGTTTTGCTTGTCTGCCTTTCAAAGCTGAAAATCATTTTCATGATGTCAAGGTGACTATCGATACCCCGTTCGTTTTGTTGGTAATTTAACATGTGTAAATAAACTACAAAATCGTCCCGATTCTTCCATTATTTTACTGACACAACCGTACTGAATGAAATCATTTTAGTCAGTAATGTAGGAGCGTTTTGTAGGATAGGTTTAACCCTGGCTTTGTCCCTGTGCCTTAATTAAAAAGAGTAGATCAAACGTATGAACGTTGTTTAACAATGTACAATGTTAGAAAAGGATGATGAAGCTGCGTGTACTGAGTGCAGCAGAGTTTAATCTTCATTAGAGTCTGAGAGATCCAAGCCTTTACAAACCAGGCGATTGTCTCCATTCTTCGGGAATATCATCGGAGGACCGGTTTTTACATTCTTTTGGAAATCCAAACGTGTACAATTCCTATTTGCTAAGGGTGAAACAAAGCCAATGTCGACGTGGGAAGAACTTGGCGGAAAACGAGGGGTCGAAGTGTAAAAGCGTTCAAAGTTTACATGTGAGGCGTTTGAGCCAAGATCATTTACTGAATGGTGAAGGACTTTATCCAGTCTTGAACGAAGCTTTTTGCATTCCTGACAAATGACTGGATAGTCATATGTCTGAACGGCCGTATTTGTCTGAAAGGATGAACCCAAAATAGTTGGATGATCGATACATCAATACGTTGGAATTACGATGTGCATAAGTGGGGCACCACTCAGTTACCAAGGCAGCGAATGTCAAATGCTGAGCCGAAATTCGTATGATTTCGTGGTCAGCGCTACTGGAATTGAAAAAAGCACTAACACATGGATGAGACTGCACTCGATTAATTTAGTCGAGGGAACTGAGGCTAACAAATGCTTTACTCCACGAATTTTAGCAAATGTTCACTCATGAACATGCGAAATTCTAATAAACCACTAAGTTTCATCACGCTTATGATTATTTATTTGTTTATTGAATCTTTTGTTTTGACTGCGTAAGCACTAAAGGGTGTGGTCATTGTACTTATGCCCAATGCCACGACCTTCAAATCAAATCCGTAGCCTCTAACCGCTTCACTATGCTTTTGAAATGCATTTTATATCCTAGCTTGGTGGCATCTTCCGCCTTCAGTAACAAGTAAGGGCACCACACTGAACTTTGACAAATTCTATGTTGAAGGTGGCCGGATAATATTCACCGGAGCTACATATAACAAGTCTATGGCTAATACTGCATTCCCATTGTCTAGTAAGCAGCTGTACTAGGAAACTCACAAACCGATAATATTGCCTAGTTTTAAGCAAAATGCACTGCTAAAAAAATGCACAGGATAAGGTTTTGGGAATCCTATTCGAGTGACTTAGTCCACGAAAACCAGGCTATTTATGGGATACAGTAAAGATAGATTAAACTTTAAGCAATTCTTAATGCAAAAAAGACACAATTAACTTTGACCGTGTTGGAAATAATCTCCAAACTTCGATTTTAAAGTAAATTACCATAATTCTACATTCCGCATTAGGAGTAAACAGGGAACTTTAACAACTTACGGAAATAACATTCTCGGTCTGTATGGATATAGATTGTAACCGTTCCTTTGTTGCTTTAACGTTATTATCATCAGCACGATGAATTTCATGTGGTGACCATTCCTTTGTTAGGTCCGCGATTAGGGAGCTAGAAAAACTACCATCTGTCCTTCCTCCGTTTCCACAATGGTTTGATTTGTCGGTTTCGATACTAACGTATGGGTTACCGAACGGGTGGTTATGTCCAAGGAAATCCCTATGAGTTCTTGTTAAGAACGAAGACCAACACTCATCAAGTAGTGGACTGCAATCAAGTACTCTATCCGTGCAATCCTGAGTGCGGCCAAATGGTTCAGGACGATTTGATTTAGGGGAGTGAGAATTTCGAAATCGAGAGGAGGGTGTTGAAGAGGAAATGCCTATGTTTTCGCGTAGAGTGGGTGCATGAATGGGAGGACATGCTCCAGGATGGGGTCGGGTTCCAAACTGCCAAAAGTGCCAACCAGGTGAATTTCTCGGCAGAAGCCCATTCTGATCACTGTAATATACAAATGGTGGCCACATCTCTGAAATAACCTTTGAGCTAGAGGATGCACGAATGAATCAATGAAACCCAAGTGGATTAATGGCTCAGTTAAAATGCGCCAGACTAGTGTTACAAAATAGCCTTGATGGAAGTTCACAATATCACTGAAACACTAACTTGCATGTCGGCTGCTCCGTAAAGTAAATAGGTTCGCCTAAGTGATTTTCAGGGGGATCAAAACGATTGATTTGGCGAAAGGGATTCAGCCACCTTTTACGGGAAGTTTCATTGCAGTTGAAATCGGATGAGACACCACGAGCGTTTGGCGATATATAAGGAAGGACGTCTTCATCTTCCAACGAATGGGACATCAAAGTACAGTCCTTGGTAAGTCTCGAAAAGTTTGGCTGTTGATAGGTATGAGGAATGAATCAGTCTTGATAGGTAAAGCGATGGAATATCTGATAGCTGCAAAATCTTGGATACCGCGAAACTATAAATCACAGTGTTCAGTTTGTTGAACTGAGACGGTCATAAGGGGACCCCTGCCAGGATAGTAAGAATGCTAACATATTAAGGAAACCCTAAGCACCATATTTATTTAAACCGAGATAATGTATAACAAAGCCAAATCATTGCCATGGCTACATTTAGTTATAAAACTGCTAGATTTCATTGGATAAGGCTGAGCACACTGACACTATTTTCCATTAGAAAAGAAAACTAACAAACTCATTAGTAATGATGGAGGCTAGTGTCATACATATGGGTTTAAATTGCTCTTTGTGAAGGGGTGCGAGAAAGCTAGTTAGACATTGCGCTAAAGGAGTGCAAGTGTCAAGCCCCATCTATGTCCATAACATAACATCGAATAAATCTTAAAGCTTATGTAAAGGTTTTAAAGAGCAGATTTAGAGAAGGTACAGCTTGTATTTTGGTAGTGATAAAACAGACCTCATCGAACCGGAGTGAGCTACTGCAGGTGTGCTGATGCAGTGGAGTTAATTCGGGTGCTAACATTGAGTAATTTTCCGAGTTCCGATCACTAAGGTTTCCGTTGAACTTGTCAAGGCTTTGCGAACTAGTTTTCGCCTGTTGTCCGTATGAATCAGGAGCCAACTCACGAGTACTTCGCCATGGTCGATAGAAATTCGTGGAACAAGAACTTGATCCACCAACATTACTAATAACATCACAGAAAAATTCAAAGAAATTCAGCGCGCAGCGAAATCGTAGCTTAATGCAGCTGAGTGAATTATCATTGGCAGTTCCGCCTAAGTCTCGATTAGATAATTAAAACCAGGGTTGTGCAGGGCTTTGAGAAATGAATTATCTGCGCCTTTGAAAGAACTGTGACTGCTGGCACGAAAAGCGTTTTGATAAGTCTGGCTGGCTATCCCTAATGGTTAAATGTTTAAAAATGTATAATTGCCACGTTTTTGGACAAAAACCTGAAGTTGCTATCACTTTTGCGATGTTTGGTAAGTGTTCGTATACATGCATAAATTGCTTTAAATGAGTCGTTTAAGTACCCGGGATCCTGTCCAAAACAGTTTGCTAAAGAAACACCCAGGCAGATCAGGATAAACAATCACTGAAATGCACAAACTACAACAAACAAATAAGCATAAAGTTTGATGGTGAGAAGCCCACAAATATAATAGCTTTCTAAAGAACGGTGACTCTTTTCAAGGGACTAGTTTACTCAGGGCATAAGATTAACTCATGTTTCGAAGGTCTTGACTCATTAATAAAAAGGAGACAAGCAAATAAGTTGGACCAGCAAAAGTAACCTACCTATAATTTGCTTGTTGAATAATATCATTGACCGTGTCTTCAATCCTTGGTCTAAAATGGTTAGCTAACAATGTTTAGAAGCGAGCAATAAGTACTGAACGCAAGCAGGATTTAGACCGGTAAAATGTACATTAAAAGAGGAACCAGCATACCTTTTCCGATGAATTTGCTTACTTGCATGGAGTAAGGGCGAAATTAAAGCTTCTGAAGGCTGAAAATGAAAACGACTCATACTCATAACAAGATTCCAAACCCTAAAAATAAGGTGTGATCTCAACTTAGTAGATTGTATTAAGATTGTTCGATTCCTTCCAACGGAAAACAAATATCAAGGTAAGATTATTTGCAGCAACATTTTAAAAAGTACAATGGGTTAGGTCGCAAAATTAGCATGAAAGTGAAAACAAAACACGAAATACAACCTGAGCCAGAGAATTGTTGTTAAGATTGCTGTATAACACGGTTTGAGAGGCACGTTTAACATCGTCACAGCAATTCCTTGCTTCCTGTGGGACGTGCCTACTCCTATAAGGCTTCGTTAACTTTTCGAAGCTTGTCGCCTGCCGGCGAGCCCATCCCTGTGGTAATGGCCTAAATATTACAATCTTTATGCACAAGAAATTCAAATAAAAAAATGCATAATAAAAATATAATTTCTCTGCTTATAGTGAATAGTATCGTGTGTGTAAACCAAATACGAAACTTGCACAAATTAATATAACTTTGTTGGCTCCGCATCTATGATTTTAACAATGTTCATTAATGATGTTTGATTTAATTTGTTCAAAGAAGATAGCTTAGGGCATAGTAGACTCCGCACGAAGTACAAAATATTTAAGCGACCGCGTAATCGACATACATGAATCCCGTATATAGCGGATTCTTATTAAGTTGCATTTTTCACGAGAACGTAACACGGAGTTGAACAAGGCAATTCAGATAACTTAAACAATTGCGAGGTGAGAAATATAAGTGTAAATATGTTTTTTTGAAAAAAATTGTATTTGATTGTCCCTGTATAATCTGTGTTTTTATTTTAGCCTCTCGTCTTAAGCGCTGAAAATATGTGTACTTGTATTGATTCTAACAATTTTATTTGATAAGAAATGTTTTGCGGTTTTTTGTAAGCTGGAAACCTACACTCGACATTGGCAATTGTTAGGGTCTAGTGAGCGACTCAAGGATTAGTCCATTCCTGGAAGGTCAATTGGTAGAGGACTGAATGCTTGGTTTACCAGAGCCAAATGTTTAACCGTCATCCCACTCCAGTCTTATGAAGCTTCACCTGAAAGAATGACTAGCAATCCGCTAATCGCCTGTTTTGATTAGTTTGTGCCCATTATCCTAATTTTGGGATAATGTTTTGCGTTCCTATACCATGTTTGCATATTGTATTTATGTGACCCCCTGATGTTTTGTGGTTGCTTTGGCATTCGTCTATCTCTTGTATGTGTGCGCTGGTCTTCGGGTCAAGTTCAGATTTAAACACTGCTCTTTTCTTAGAGTAAATGCAATTAGCCCAACTTAATGCCTTCTTCGAATTGGTGCAAAGTCTCGAGACGCCACAATTTTATCAGTTTTTCAAAAAGAAATTGTAGCGTCTTAAGACTACCCACCGGTTGGAAGAAGGCAGTAAGTGAAGCTGGTAACATGTATTCAAAGCATCGGGGCTTGAGCATGGCTCGAGGGTCGGCCCAAAAGTACAAGGACCAGACAAATCCTAAGGTGGCCGCCAAACGTTATGTAGTCATATAAACCAGTTGTAAAGAAACTTCTAAATTTCAATCTTACGAAAATGTATTTCTTGAATTACTCTAATCTATATGTGTAGCATCCCAAGACTTCCCACTAGGTAGGCCATAAGTATAATTCAATACATGTAGCTATACATTTGGGTCTGAACGCTGGCTCACGACCACAAGAGCATGACAAACGTTAAAGTGGCTATCAGTCGTACAAGTGATCACATGGACAAAGTTATCCTATCTAAATGATTATATCTTTTTGTATTTGCATTTATGCAATGTAGATGTACCATAAATGCCTTACAATAGGTTCAGCTCTCATTTCTCTTACGTTTTGCATGTATTTTAAGCAGTTATTCAAGGAAATGCAGACTGTTCAGGGACTGTAGTATTTCAATACCATATTCAAGACAGTAGATGGCATAGTACCAGAGGAGGAGATCAGAAATTTTAGCATGATCAAGAGGTCAGCCTATCCCAAGTGATCATACAGCTGTTTGAGTGCCAGCAACCAAAATCTTTGTTTAAACAAAAGCAATAGCTTAAATAGTTCTTAGTTAAATAGTTCTTTGTGGGAGGAGGCATGATATTAATACACGCTCAACAAGTGAAGTGCAAGGATCCTTCCTAGGATTAGGTCGTATATTTTAGACGTGCTTCGTCTCATGTTGACCGTATCCGCATAATGTCTAATAAATCGTTGTCAAACTACACTCCTCCTAAGGAGGCTGAGATGAAGGTGAAGAGTGCGGGAAGGAAGGTGGTCCACTAGGTCTTTCGTTACAAACATTTCTCTTTAAGAGCTGATAACCATTGAACCAACACGAGGTGTTATGCTTTCTGGTCACCTTTATACTAACATGCTCTTTCATTCTAATTCTTAATTCCTTTAAATTCGATTATGGAGCTATCAACTGTAAACACTAGTGTCCCTTGCTTGTACTTTAGTGGTGTGAGATTTTAAGTTGTTCCTTACGTCTTTCATGCAATAAAACACGATAAAACAAATTGTCGGAGCGTTGGAATGAAATGGGGACAACTGCAACATTACTTATCGGTACACATGTGATTGAAACTTTTTGGAGAAAGGGCAATTTTGCTACTCCCACATATTTGTGTGGCAGTAGGTGATGTTAAAACACTCTAGTTAGCATTGCAGGTCATAGGATTCAAACTTATCATTTTTATTAAGTGTGTCGGAAGCAACGAATTCTCTTCATTTGCCATTGGCAAGGGGCCAGTTTCGGTGGTTTATATTTTGACAACCTCATTTTGTCATTTTGATAGCATTTGAGATTCATTAAACAGTTGCATCTTCGATGTAGTCCCACTGATAGCAAATGCTACAATGATCGCACACTTGTTCTACTGAAAACTGGTCAGCCGCATAATTTTTTGACCCAAACATCATTAAGGTTACCACAGACATTACTTTGAGTGGTTTTCGTGATGAATTTAGGCTCCAGGTTGGGAACGTTATCTGTGGCAAAGATAATTTTGGCCAAGTTCTGTCCATAAGGTAATGTCGAATTTCGAGGACTTCAATTTCTTGGGATGAAGCAATGCTAGGTAGCTAACCAACCGATTTGCTTAAAATGTCTATATTGAAGGATTTTGCAAAACTCGAAGTTGGTTAGAGCTTGCCCGATCTTGCTTAAAAAAGCAGTTGTTTTTAGTTAAGAAGGAAAGTAAAGACGCGACACATGCCATTACTTACGACAGTAAATCTGACTTGTGCAACAGCAGACTATGTGGGGACTGCTGGATCTAACTCGTTAAGTTTTCTCAAGCCTGCAGCTTCCACTTAAAGCCTGGATTATCCTCCTCCACAGTTGTCCATTATGCCGTTAATCCACCAATAAACAAATAGATACCACCAGCATCTAACACTTAAATCCCGCGATGACACAGGGTAATTGCATGCCAATAACCTCGCATAGAAAATCTTAGGAGAGATAACCATTACAAAACGGACCAATAGCTTCATTGCTATGGCTCGATCAGGAGGTTGCTCACTGCACAAATAGCGCGGTGATCACAGAAATGCGGATGCTTCTGCTCTACCTCTTGGTGCTGTTGGGTATCAATGACCGCTTTACAGCCACTCAGAGCAGAGATGCCGATACGATCGGTAAGAACCAAAGCCCATCTATAAAAACATTGCCGTTCATCAAAACAGTTTATTCTGGTTTAAATGGATCATTGCACTATTCTCTCTGTTCATCCTATGCAATATTCCTCGAGGACATGCTTGATCGCACTTGACATTTTGATTGCAAAGAAGGATTGCTGCTTATGTGTGTAAGGTTTTGCCATTAAAAGAATGCATTGAACCAATCATGAACACAAAGACGGAAATTGATGTTGCATTGTTAATCAGTGTGATAGAGAGAATTAAATTTGTTACTGACTGACCGTTTCCATTATGCTTTAGAAAATACTGAAGCAACGGCTACAGATGTTGACGAGGAGGCTCTATCGGAGGGAAACAAGAGTGAGCCTCTGTATGATAAAACTACTTTTGATAACATCAAAGAGGCTTTAAAAGCTGAGCGTGGAATTAGTGATGTGGTTTTGGCGGTGATCAACACATCCACGGTTCTTCGCTGCAGACCTGATAAGAACTTTTCGAACTCAGACGGACAAAACGGCGTCAAGGTGAATTGCCTTTTGTCTGTAACTTCTCCTGTTCCTCAAAAAAGCCCTTGTAGGCAACATGTTTTATGTTGAATAGGACCAATAAGTGAGTAAGTAATTAAAAACGATGTCTGGCATTATCAGTAAACCGTGACATTTTCAATACGTGTTGACCGGCTTCTGGAAGCCGCACAAGTTCAGATCCAATTGGAGGTGGGAGTGGACATACTTGGATAAATAATATCGTATTTTGAACTGACAAAAAGGTGGAAGTGCCTCACTTGTTGGAGCCGAATCCCAAACTGATGCTC